AATAGGCGTTTAGTTGTATATAGTTTGTTAAAGTAGTTAACTATAGTAAGGAGAGATTACAATATACACACACACACACGCGCGCGCGTGCGTGCGTGCGTGTGTGTGTGTGTGTGTGTGTGTATTATATAAACAAAACATCCCTGCGAATACGTACAGACTCGTACGTTTCCAACTGGCATCATTAATTATGAATTCTCCTTGGCGATTGAAGGTGCATGAAAATTGGTGAACCGTCATCGTTTCGTTTAAGTATAATCGCATATTAATATAACGTGCGTGAGGTCGCAGGAAACGTTGATGGTTACGTATATAATATGTGATACACGCGTGAAATTTTAAGCTGTCAATAGAATGTCCTAACATTAAACATTATAGTGCTATTACACGGTTTTTCCTTTCGTCACTCACCTCTCTCGCGTTTCAGAGAGCAGGTATGTACGTTATTTCTATTTTATTAGCTTTAAAGTCCACTTTACACGACCTGTACGTCGCGTCAGAATATAGGATGATGAAACTTTGTAATTTTATTGTGTCGTACATATAATACAGAAAACATTTGAAGATCAGAATATACCTATAAAATACATATCAAAATACACATCAAAATATACAAGATATAAAATTATAAATAGAATTCTATTTCTTTCTTTTTTTTTTTTTTTTTTGGTTGTAATTCGACGCGAATTATGGATAATCTAAAGTGGACTTTGTATACTTCCTCTGTTCCTCAAGGATTTTTTTTAGGAAGAAACATCCACGATAAGGTAAGAGAAATATTCTTATATACGTAGAAAATTTTTTCATAATATTATGCGCAAGCAGCGCAATTACGCTATTACAATCAGCCTTTTATTAATCTATTCGACGGTATGTACGTTCACGTTCTTCATTTAGCGCTGTATGCGGGATGTCAATACCGGTCACAATTTACAGCTTCAATAACAGTTACAGCGATCAGTTGGGCAATTCGACGGATAACGCATACAGCGTCTCAGACAATATTGATCCGCTCCAGGTCTATCAGCGATATCTCCAATAGCGTCGCACGTATTTCTGTAATCATATCGGGACGAGAATCAGAGAGATAAGTTTCGCGGATGTTGTTTAAATTAAAAAGCCGCGGCGTGATCGCGACCATTTGATACTTCAATACCGATTCCGAGTCAATGACAATTCATTGCTTAAACTCGCGCGGCGATCAATTCAATACTCACAGACAATGACAGACACCCGGCGGACAGTTCGACGGGACGCGAATGCAATTTACTTGACACCAATTGGTCATATTCTGCCTGTATCGATAAGCCGCAGTTGGCTCGCATACTTGAACCCTGAAATCGTGAAATCCGTACACGCGCGTGTCGCAGAAAGAACGCTCGAGCGCACGCTCGATGCTGACACGCGCGCGTGTCCTTAACGTGCCCTTTAAGGATGTATTACATTTATTTTTATAACTTTTATATTTACAATAAACAAAATTATGAGAAACTTACAAATTCTAAATCGCATTCAAAAATAATACAAAATAATTCACTGGTGGTTTAACATTTAAATAAGAAATTATTTAAATAAAAAAGTATGATTAATTGAAAATTAATTAAGAAATAATAATAAAAAAATTGAGATTTTTTTATATATAATACTTTAAATATTCAAGATTATTTCTGTCAAGATCATGTTTCATTGTGATGCAAAGATTAGTTGTTTTGCAAGTAAAATTTTATTTTATTTACATTATTTATATCACTCGTCTTAAATATTTATATAAAGAAATTAGAATTTTTGTAATTATTTCTTAATTGCATTTCCATTAGAGAGATATTATATTTATTTACTTAATTAATTTTTAATCCATGTTCTGAGTCGAAAATCTTTTTCATTTCACCTTTAAATACAAAATACTAGAATAATCAATGATTTTTCATTGTAAATAAAATCAAGCGTACGTAACACATCCTTAATGCATCGATTGACTCTCACCTGAGCGGCCGTGCGAGCGGTGCGATCGAGAATTTTGGAGCTATGGAGTACAACTGATAAATGATATTCTGATACAGAAACCTCGGCGGTATTCCGCCGGTGCTGGTAACGATGCTCACGTCAGCGCAGTTGCGGAAGGTTTCCGGCCTGCCGCATCCGACGGCCTCCGTGCCGTTGTCGCAGGTGCCCCACATGTTTCCTGATTGCAAACAGGCGATATGAGAAAGATCATTCTCGCGTTCCGCGCGGTCCCGACGGGCGGGAAGTAATACACGATAAAAAAATTTCGTGCCTGTGTAGTAATTCCACTGAACGACGCATTGCGAGCACGTTAAATACGGTGGCAACGTTACCGTGTACCTAATGATGCCCTTCTTTCCCGTCTCGCGCGGAATCTCAAAGCGGACGTCCTGCGTTCCGGACACGTACAGAGGATAGCTGTGCGATTTAAGATGGATTAGCAGATAACGGCAGTCGTACTTACCAAAAATTGTGAAAATCACTTACGAGTCGAAACACTCTTGAGTCGTTATGCGCGACGGGTCGTTGTTGGGACAGATATACATCTCAAAGCGCCCGAAATGATTTGCCGTTAACTCGATCTCTATCTCGATTTCCTCCAAACAAATTATACTGACATTGTACTTATATTATTAAATTATGAAAACCTTACGGATTATTCTAAGTAGCATTTAAAAATAATTAACGAAATAATTTTACTGGCGATTTAGATCTTAGACCAAAAATTATTCAAATAAATAAGCAGAAGTGTGTTCTAATGGAAATTAATTTAAAAAAATGACAAAAATCTCCATTTTTTTTTTACACAAGTATTTTAAGTATTCAAGATTATTTATGTAAAGTTCCATGCAAAGGTTAGTTGTTTTGCAAATAAAAATTATAATTTTATTTGTATCATCACTCGTTTCGCTTATATTCGATAAAAATGTAATTTTTGTTTACAGAATGCCTGCATTGCGATAGAACTTGAAACTTCCTTAGAAAAGGAATTTAGAAACAATTGTAATTAAAAAATAATTACAAAAATGTTTTTTTATATAAGTATTCAACTTTAAGTATTCAGGATAATCTATGTAAAGTTCCTTATTCTTTTCTTCCTGTGAAAACATGGGACCACAATCTCGCTGCTTTGTGAAATCTGGAGATCAAAGGTTACGTTACCTGGCCCACGGTGTAGTGCCGAGTTATGATCCCCTTTGCGAACTCACCACCGGCTTCGTGCGGACGCGGTTGACTCAAATGATACGCGTCGCCGCAAACGCCGCACTTGCCCTTATTTTGTTGCCAGTGCACTGGGGGAAACAATAGCTATCGATCAGTATCGGCTCTAACGCCAAACGCACAATTCGCGATGATCGTCGCGAACACGAACCTGCATATCCCCCGCAGAAGAGCTCGTTGTCATTGTAATTCACCGGGTTTGGATAGCCGAACCTCCACATCGCGTTTCTCGACGGCGGATCCATTAATCTTCCATGCCCGTGGATCACGTCGGTCGCCTTTTCAAATCCCGACAGAGGCAGGGTTTAAAAGCGAAAAGTAAATGTGAAAATATTGCGTAAAAATGAAACTGTTAGTCTGCGCCTTTCTTCGATCGCGTTATACATGCAATGTCATTAAATGGGCGGCCTTGTTACTTTTACTCGCGTGCGCGGTATTAAGGGCGCGTCGCTGCGGGGGAAAGTGCTGTGAAATGGCGAATTGTGTGAGGGCTATTGGGAGGCATTTAAGAAGCGCATTGAAGAACGAGTTGGCACGGTCGGACTTTCGTTGCCACCGGCAAAAGTGCGTGAGAGGCCTTTCGGGCTTCCTTAAAACTCTGTGGATTTATAAAGAGACGCACGTCCGTGCCATCGAGAGAGTGGAGGACCCGTTAATAACCTTAATCTCGTGCGCGTAATTAAGATAAGAAAATGATCTTACTTGCACGAAAAAATATAATATTACAAACAGGATGTTATTCCTTAGTCGATGCCTGGTGATCATCTTTCCTGAAATCACAATATTATTAATTAGTAAAGTATTTTTATTCACACTTGGTTTAAACAAATTGATAAATTAATAATAAATTGACAATATAGTATTCTGGAAAGTGAATAATTTTTTACACACAGATAAAAATCTCTCTCTCTCTCT